GAGGTTGCGCAGCCTGACAGAGGCTTTTTCTTAAGTTGCTGAATGACCCCTCAGCGCACCGGCTCTTAAGGGGCCCGGTGACCAGCAGAACCCGGCCTGGCTGCTGGTGTAAAGGCAGCAAAACGATGCCTTCCCCGAAAGGCTTACAGTCGCTCTGCAGACCTCCTTGCGATGCAGGAATACAAACTGTATAGCTTTTGAAGTTTCAAAGCTTGGTAAACAGCCGGAGAAGAGAAAGCACTACACCCAATGTTCCATTCCAGCATCGTACGCTGAGCCGTGTTTAGGCCATTCTTTACACCCAAATAGCCAGCGACCATTACATTTAAGATCAAGTCAAGGAGTTCTTAAGATTCAGGGCACCCACAGAGCACTGTCAGTCTGAGCTTTCATCTCTGTTTTCCTTGTTTAGTGTCTGTCATAAGCCATAGACTTTAAGTCACTTTCAGACTGAAAATATTTTACTTCTAAGCTTTGGTATTTAACATGCAAAATTTTCCAGGACAAAAGCAGAGTCTATCGATGAAGCAAGGTCATGCTTCTTAGATATTTTAAACAACACAGATTTAAATTACAGTGATTAATTAGAAAGTTGGCTGCCTAAATGAAACAATCGGTTCCTTTGTCTTTGGACAGGATTTTAAATACTGAACATTAGTCATCAGTCATGTGAGGGTTTAAACAAGCACTTAGTTTTATGCAATTTGAGTGATTAGTTCTGTTCAAGTGAGTAGTGCTGCACAGAACGTGTAAGGCTTAGCACATCTCAGACCCCCAATTGTACAAAGCTCTAACATGTGACCCACAAAGTGATTTTATTTTTCTTCAGGGCTGTTTCCTAAGGAACTGTGTTTATGCAGTCACACACGTCTATCATCCACCCTTTCCCCATCGTCAGGGGAAGGGGAATGGTCCCCAGCTTGCTGGCCAATTTCAGTTAGTTTTCACAGCAGAATGGAAATTTCAAAACCGATTTAGCTTGTACATACTTGGTGAAAATAGGTGACTCAGTGTAAGAGAGATCTCTTACTTGCATAATGAAAGCAGCTGCAGAAGCTGAAATACTATGTTACAAAACCATTCTTGAGGTGAAAAAGAGAAAACATAATACCTAATTAACCCAGTGAGACATAAAGGTTCAAGTAAGCCTTACGATCAACCCAAAGGTGAGACATTAGGAACTGAATTTTGTTGGGGGTTCAGGGCACTTCTAAAGGAAAAGAAAGCAAATCTAAATCTGTTTCTTTTCTAGGCATTATCTGAGGTCCGCTAATGAAGATGTGATTTAATACCAAGTGCACTGTTAAACAGGGGGTTTTCAAATGTCTGCTTATATAAAGCTTACATTTTGCTTCCTTAGGTCCTTCCAAATTCATCCTCATTCAGGTGTTCATCTGCCGCACGCTCTTTCTGAAACCGAAAACATTCATCCTAGAAGAGCCTGTGTATAAAACCAGTGATATGCCTACACATACGTATCTTTCTGTAGCTTATTTTTAGCAAAATAAGAAGATAACCAACATGTATTGATAGTGCTGCCGGAAGATAAGGTTAAAGGCTTTGTGTTGCTTGGTTTCTACCATAAAAATGGAATAGGAGCTAAAAGACATTTAGAAACCACCTACCACAGATATTAGGCTGTAACATGGGAAGAGCATTAGATCATGAATATCACCATATACCAGAATGAAAATAAAACCCACCTCAGATAAGATACTATACTTCTAAGAAAAGTCCAAGCACTAACAATATCCCTACTTAGTTTTACTGAGCACAGAATACTTTAACATGGTAATATATCTCTGAGTTCAAAAAGAATAATATAGTGAGAATTTCCAAGCACCACCTACAAATTCCTGTCTTCACTTCCTTTTTATTTGTAAAATAATTGCACCTGTGGAATTTAAGGTACTTGTTTGCAGCTTTTTTTTTTTTTTTTTTTTAAACCTTACTTTGCACCAGTAGAAAGGGTTACACAGCATGCAAAACCGTGAATAATCAGACCCGGAGAAATTAAGGTGCATTTGCTGTTAAACCACTCTTACCAGAAAGAGCATTCTGAGAGAAAACTGGCAGATTTAAACCCATCTCAGTAGGGCAATTTTATTGTTTCCTAACAATAATAAAAAAAGATATTTGTATTTGACTCAAGTCTAAGTCCTTGGTGTCACAGTGTGTTGTACTGACAGATGTTCTCTTGCCAATTTTTGTACCAACAAGTATCTTACAACTACTGAATCTTTTACACGGGCATTCAGTGAGGTTAAGGGATGGGGAGTCTCTCACTGCCTGACCTCCTCCACCGGAGCTGCTTTGACCTCCTTGCAGGCCACGGTGTTAGGTGCTGCTGTGGTAAGGCAGCAGGGTGTAGCGCTGCAGGGGAGCGTCTCCGACTAAGTCTCCAGTTGTTCCTCACGTTGCGACAGGAGCACAAACCTTGTGTAGGTGACATGGCTCCTCCGTGGGGAGGAGGGCAGGAAGGGAAGGGCAGGAGATGGGCAGAGGTGGACGGAGCGGAGTCAGGGAGCTGGGCTGAGCAGAGCGGCGTTGTATCTGTTCATTTGGAAGTTGGCCAGCATGGAGCATACGGAAAACTGCAGCACAAAACCTGGGTGTCAGTCCGCTGCCCACCAATACTGTCAGGCTGGCATCGTGCAACCAGTGCATTTTAAGTGTATACTTATTTGTTACTTGCATGCTAACAGAGATTTTATTTGACATCCCCATGCAAGAGTCAAATCTGTTGAAGATTTTTGCTATTTATGTGTTTGTGTATATTTTTTCCCTGGGATTTTATGTAGTTTGGAATTTAAAATAGCAAGTAACTGGACTTTCATGTGACATCATGATGCTGGTTTTCCACTTGGACCTTGTCATCTTTCTAATCCAATTCACATGTAAATTCGAAAGCTAAACACTCCATTTTAGCATTTTAGCTTCCACTTAACACAGAAGTATGTAGGTACAGAGAGTATAAGGCAACAACAAGTCAAGGTCAATAGGTTAACAAGGCCAGCTCTGATGTGGCTCTAAATTTCCTCCTGTTTAAACGAGAGAAAATGCTCTCCATGGAAAAATAGTGTGAGAATTAGTGAGATTTTCTTCGTCATGTATTATCTGAAACATTAATAGAAAGGCGAGAGCTATGGCAAAATATGGTCAGTTACTTCTATGTATGTTGTCATAGAAAAAAAAAAAGCTTGTAAAAATAAAGGGGCATTTGGGGGAAATACAAATAAATGTTTGTTTTACATAGTCCATAATTACATTAAAAAAAAATCCATGCCTTTTACTAAAATGTCTCAAATTGCGATTGAATTACACATTGCAGGTTTTTTTTTAGTAGAGTGGATAATTTTCACCAGGGAAAAGATTTGTTCCTATTTCATGCATGGTAAACAAAGCATATTCCCTGAAGTTTTTACTTCAGACAGCAAAATCATCTCTATACACTTCAGAGGGCTTCTGTCTTGTATAGATTTGTACCTTTTGAAAATCAGTGGGTTGCTTCACTGAGAAGTGTGAAGTATTTCAGGAAAGAAGATCCCGACGTGCTTTTTTTTATGGCAGCTCTTACCCTCTGAAAGATCTGGGATACCAGAATATAGTTCTCATATTACATTTTGCAGCTGATGCATGCCTGATGGTAAAGTGTAATTAGCTAATGGATCCCATTATTTCTGATGCTGGCTTTTCACAGATCGTGTTCATCCAGGCAGCAGCTGAAGAGTTTTCTAAACTCAATTAGTGCAAGAACGCTGTGACCAATGGAAAAATGTTTGATGCGTGCCAGAAAACAAATCTTCCCAGCTCTTCTAAATATGTTTTGAAAACAAATATGGATCACACATGATTTTCATAT